GCGCGCGAGGCTCTGGGGGAGGGAGCGGCGCCCCGGCGGGAGGACGGGGGCCTCCCGGGCTAGGGTTTCCGAGGCGCCTCGGGGGATCGAGCTGGCCCCGCTCTCGGGTTCCCTACCATCCCCCTCGCCGGGCCGTGGCCGGGCCCGTTAATGATTGATGCCGGGGGTGGGGGTGCCAAAGGCTGCGCCAGCGACTCGGGCGCAAGCGTCGAGGGCGAGGGTCGGCGCCTGGGTTCCAAACTCCACGGCCGCGTCGACGTTCCAGAGGACACAGGGGCGCCGCGTTCGCGGGGGGCGGGGAGCAGCGCGCGCGCGCGGGGCGGGGCGCGCGCGCGCCTGACAGAGTCCAGAGATGCGCTCACGATAATCTCCGGAGCGAGCGGAGGGCGCTCCGGAAATCGGAGGCTTTGAGGCAGGGCGGTGATGTTGTCAGATACCTAGGGCAGCGTGCACCGTTGTGTATGTGTGTGTGTGTGGGTGTGGGTGCGCGCGCGCGCCTGCCAGCCTGCCTGCTCCGCTGTCGGCTGCACATCATCCATTATTACATTTATCGCCTTTAGTCTAGCGGGCTTATTCAGGTGCGTCACTATCTTTCCTTATCCTTTGCCCTTGCCCTGACCAGACGAAGCGTCCTGAACTGGCCTCTTGCTGCGTTCACCAGCCCCTTGTGGCCAACTACAGTTCACCCGTCATCCTTCTTGCCTTGTGTCTTTCAACTGGGACTCGGAAAGGGGCTGCCCCAATCGCACAACGTAATGAAAAATTTCAGATAAAGGCCAGGCGCATTTGAAAGCCTCTAACAAGCGGAGATGATCTGAGGAATTTGATTAATAAGTACAGTTAATAAGCAAGAGATGTGCTGGGGAGTCAAGGGCCCATCATTTTGTGTTCACGGGAAAGGTGCGTGCTTGTATAAACTGCAAAGAGCGTGCACAACAGTTTGTAGGGACAGGGAGGGCAGTGTTTGGATAAAGCTGATGAATCAGAATCAGCTTGATGGCAATGTGTTGGTTTGGGTTGGGTTTATAATTAACCAGAAATGCCTGATCGGCTTGGGTTGGTGTATTCTGGAGGTAAGGTGAAAGGAAAATTGAAGAATAAAAAAAATAGTAACTGTGCACGACCCTGTGGAAATATGCCCATGTGGAGTGAGGTTCGGGAAACTATGTTCTGAAATGTACATTTCAGTTTTCACTATCATGCCCGGGGTGGGGGGAGGGTGTCTTAAGCTAATTTGTATTGCTAACTTGCAGTACAGTGCCATAACAAAAATGAATATTTAAATATGAGGGTTGTAAGTGGGGTTTTGTTTTTTTTTTTCTTTTTAGCACCTTAAGGTGCTAAAAATCGCTGCTCTAAGTGTTTTACAGGTTTTAGGAATGATTAAAGGAAAAAAAAATATGTGTAATGTTTCTCCATTTTACATAGAGATACCATGACGACAAGGGAATTTTGGTGGCCTACTGGGTAGGGAGTTCCTATGGTAACCCAAAGATGGTGCCTCTGGTGGTGTGAATCGACCAGGAGCTCCGTGGGAGAGGGATAGGCCATCTCTTCTTTGCAATTAACAGTCCCCCCAAACTGCCAGAAGGTTAGCTGTGAGTCATTTCTTGACCCAAGGGCAATCAATGCCTTTGAGTGGTAGAAGCAGGATTTGCACCTGGTCAGGCAACTTTGGGATTTCAGGTACTTAAACCCAAACATCCCGCTTTACTCTAACTGGTACAGAAAGGTAGATTTAGGGTAAGACTTTCCTTTCCTTTTTAAAAATGAAAGACTTGGGGAGGAGGGGTGGGCGGGGAGAAAAGTACAACAATGAATGAATGGAAATTAAAAAAAAAAATGATGGGTAAGGGGAATGAAAGGCTTCCTGTACCGCTGTGCTCAGTCCTAAAAGTAGCTTAAGAAAAGTTTGCTCAGTAGAGGCTCAAGATTGAAGTGATTTATGAATGAGAATTATTTATGACTAGGATAACCTTCAGTGTTTAAATGCCTCAGATTATATAAGGGTACCAGACATGATCTCTTCAGAAGTTTCAGCATTTCTCTCTGAAATATGTTTTCAGAGTTTCAGCATTTCTCTCTGAAATATGTTTTCCACTAGAAATTGACTTAGCAAATTCTTACACAATTAGGCCAAAGGCACACTGCAGCCTAGTGCCTTTCTGAATTGTCACTAATTCCAGAGTAGTGGACTTTTACTAAATAAGATTTAGTGTAGTTACCTAACACTTATTTTAGTAGTTTTCTTTTTTGCTTATTGTTTTTCTACTGTTTATGGCCTCATTGTTTTAGATCAGCATTTAAAGGGTTGCTTTTACTTCTGGACTACCGGTAAAAGGGATTAAGACCTGGACATTTCTGAGTCAGTCTGATGAGTGATGAAGTCAAATCTAGGGCAGACAAGGAAATACTTTTCAATATTTTATTTTTCTACAGGTATACTCTAATTTGTAGCCAACTAGGTAATATTGATCCTATAATTATAATATTTACCAACTTCTAACTTGTGTCATCATTTCACTTGCGTAATTGGGGGAAATGTAATAGAAAGTTCACATCAAATAATGATAGAATTGACTGTAAATAAATGTGTAAACATTCTGGCTAGATATTACGTTTCTTTTTATTACTAAGTGGTGGGATAGGCTATTATAAAATCTGGTATTTTATAAAACAAGGAGGATTTTGTCGAATCAGGATGTCAGAGTGTTCTTACAATTCAATGTCTTTATTTTTTATCTGCCATCCTCATTCATTCCCTTCCCTACCCCCTTCTCCCATGAGACATAAAAGTAACAGATGCCATGGAATGGTGGTCACGAAATGGGATGGTGCCAACTAAAGACAGCTGTCTTCACTTGCACCTTGTCAAAGCCAAGTCCAAAGGAACTAAAAGAATAATAGCAAGACTCGACCTCAAATTGTAAGAGAAAACAGTGTGGCTTTCCTCAGTTACTGCCCATTGACAGGATTACGTTTTCTTTTCTTGAGGTCTAAAGACAAATTTCCCTAATCCTCCACAGGTTGCATTTTGTAGGTTGTTTTCAACTTCAGTAAACTCGCTGCTTGTTGTCAGCAAGCAGCAGGCACACGTTGCCAGGACGTGGATAAGCAGATAGAGGCGGCAGCAGACTGCCCTTGCCTGGGAGGTGCCCCGGTGATAAAGGTTTTCTAAGTTGGTGCAGCCAGGGTGCTCCTTGAAGGCAAAGATGGCAAGTCTGCATCTCACATACTTAGGACATGTTGCTAGGTGAGGTTATTCCTTGTAAAGGGGCATCATGCCTGGAAAGGTGGAGGGTCAGCAAAAGAGAGGAAGTCCCCTCACCAGACGGATTGACACAGTGACTGAACAATGGACTCAAGCATATGGATGATGAAGATGGCACAGGATAGGACAGGGTTTAGGTCTGTTGTTCCGAGGGTCACTATGAGTCAAATTGAACACGATGCCTCTTAACAACAGCAAGGCAACCAGGACAGACTATAGAGTTCTTTGCAGGGAAGACTCACTTGTTATTACACTGGAAAGCCAGGGCCAGGGCTGAGAGACAGAAACCAATTAATTTTACCCAATGCAAGCTCATCAAATCCTTTTCCCATCAGGTTTGCTTTGTTGTTGTTTGCTGTCAAGTTAGAACTGACCCATAGCTGATCCTTGAGGATTTTTTGAGGCAGTAAAATTATACCGGAGGAGATTGCCCATCTTTCTTCTGTGGAGCAGCTGGTGGATTTGAACTGCCTGCCTTAGGGGCTACAGTGCAGCTTCTTACCACTAGGCCACCATAGATTTGCTTTAATAATGTTCTAACAAGCAACTACAGATTCACCTATTTCTTCCTAAAGTAGTAAAATGAAACACAACCCCCCCCCACACACACACACACACTCACCCATAGCAAGGTTGATATTTCCTAAAAGGGATAATTGGCTATCTATAAACCTGCAGGGGGAAAAAAATCTGCCATGTTATTTGCTGATAATATTTTGGAAAGAAAGAATTTTTCCTAATCTCTCTTTTATCCAAGAAAAAAAGCTAAAAACATTTTTTAAACCCTCCAAGTCAATAGAACAGAAAAACAATAATGAGCCTAGTGCTTTGTTGCACCCATGACTCTATATAAAGAATTCTGAGGTTAAGAATCTGTCCTCAGAATACACTTTCTAAATAAAGCATTTCTCGGTTTTTTACGTTGGGATAACCATAATGTGTTCATCCACACTCTTCCAGGTCAAATAATAGAGTCTGAGCTTGCTCATGGTGGAAAGCCTCATGATGTCAGATGTCACTGTTAGGACCTCTGGCAGGGGCAGTCTCTGCCGTCTGAAGACCAGTGAGGCTAGAACTGGAGAGGATGCAGTGAGAGATACAATCTGCCTTTTCCTCTTCATTGCTGCCTCTTCACTTATTTGGTGAGAGGGTTCGTTTTTCAAGAAAAACGAAAGACGATTTGTAGAGGGTGTTTCTGCCTGGCTTTATTCAAAAGGTGGCAATTTCATAGGCACCTCCCTCCCAAGGTCACGTTTTCTCTACCCATAGGTGTTCCGAAGTGGGATGCACGGGACGATTGGCGAGGGCGCATGAGAGGAGTAAACCCACGAGTGAGGGTGAAGGATAAGCATTGCAGCTTCTGTCTAAATGTATCTTATCCTTTAAAGGTCTAAAGTCTGTCGAAGTTTTACAATACACTTAATATGTAGTATATGGAGAGGGTTAAGTACCATATACTTAATATATGTGAGAAGTGGAGAGATCAAAATACTCTGATAAGGTTATGTGGTCAACCCTCTGCTCTACAGTCCATTGTGCTTTTTTTTTAAAAAAAAAATTGTGATTTTAACCAAAGTTTACATAGAAGTTGGATTTTCATTCATTTGTTGCTGCACATTTTCCTCCCTCTCCACCCACTCCTCCCCCAGTCTACTTTGCAATGCACCTCTTATTCTGGACTGCTGTCATACAAGTAATGCCTCATCATATATTCCTTTTGAACAGTTCTTTCCTTCATCTGTTCCAATACAGTATCAGTCCTGTTTTATAACAGTGGTATTAGACAGTATTTGTCCTTTCATGACTGAGATATTTCACTTAGCATAATGTCCTCCGTGTTGTGTATAGTCCATTGCTCTTGTTTATCCTGCTTCCATCCCCTCTCTCAGGTCTAGGATGGACATCTCTGTCCCGTCTTTAAGGTCTCTGGGAAGGGTCTCAGGGGATCCCTATCTTCCCTCAGTCTCCAGGCTCTGAGTAGTCTAGCCCTTCTCCTGGATCTTCAGTCTCCCCCATGGCTTCTCTGAGCAAAGATGGACGTCTCCACTCTGGAGTTCATCCTCCT